TCGGGATTAAAGTTAGTTCCCCCCTAATGATATTAAGACAGCGATTCATGTAAACTCATCTAAGCGCTTAAAATTCGGCTTCACTCGTGGAATTCGACGCAAGTCTCTTGGAATATCACAGAGCCAACTTCTTTTAAAACAAATCTTGATAAATGTACATTTTGAGAATGAGCCTGAGAACTGAATTTCATGTCTTTTGCCTCGAACTGCCTGGTGAATCAACCTCCCAAAATTTCCAATCGGTCGCTTCTTCGGTTCTCAAATTATAAATTTTGTTTGAATTCGCGGCATGGGTCACTGAACAGCAGAGCTGGGAAATAGATTTCAGAGTATATGCCTCAGACCTGCCAACATTTAACCAATAGCTTACCAGGTTATCAAGTGGAAAAAATTAGCCTGAACATAGACCTGTCGGCCATAGAGTAAGGACTACCAGAAACTAATTTTTTTAAGTAAGAATGAACCCTGCTACTTCCAACTCTGTAGCCTTCGCGGCTATCAAATTAAAGCAGTTTGATTCTGAGGTTACCGCGGAAGGAGCCTATACGTACACACGGACATGGCCTCGTCTTAATGCCTTTTGCTTCAGTACAAAAACACATAAAAACTGCCACGACTTTCTCATTTGAATCGCTTCTTTCATTTTTATTCGTTTCGTGCAAATTTTTCCACAGTTTGTGTGCTCTTTTATATCAGTGCGTTGTTTCTGTCAGTGCTTGTAAAACATAAAAATTAGTCAGCGCGGAAATCGAAAAATGAAATGAAAGCTACAGCTGCTTTCCGGGCAATTTTTCTCTCTGTAAGATTATAGCCAGGATGCGATATTTTTGTATGCATTCTACACAAACAGTGATTGACTGGTCACCACAGACTTTAAAAAAAAAAAAAAAAAAAACTCAGTTCGATCAAGAAAAATTGTTTTCCAATCGATTTCCATGTTAACAATAACAATCGAATGCTGCCGCACGCTAACTGCAATTATACCAAACCCTTTCATCCAGAGCTGTTAGTACCCACCGTCTGTTCGGTCTATGTGTACCGTGTCTTTGGAATCGTCTGAGTGGTCGTTTACTTTCTCACAAGTAATAGTCACTAATACGCAAAGTCCACCGGTTATTGGCAAAGCAAATAACATGCCTTGCCCACTAAATCTTATTCTCTAGTGAGGTCGTAATGATATTCTTTACGCCGCTTATTTGACGGGGAGTATCAATGCTCATGTGATCAGGAAAAGACGCCAAGCATCCTTGGCTCCATCACTTTTTCCGACACAGTCGGTGCTCGTTTTTCAACTTTCGTCAATGACTGACATCCATGTGTTACTGTACTTTAGCACAGTGGTATTAAAGAGGTGGACACGCTCTTCTCGAGCTCAACACTTTGGAGACATTGATGTTGTTCAACTGGCAACCCACTACAGCATTCACCAGCTAGAATTTTTGGCGCATATTTACTTTCTGGCGAAGAAAGACATAGTTGTCAACTTGTTCCTGGTCAACACCGTTTATCTGCAATCTGGAAGCGAATATCAAAGCACTGTCTATCGTCTTCGTTCCCGCGCTGAAAAGCCTACTTTCTTACTTCATGCGTTAAATTCTTGCAGCAGCTCATTTGCCTCACA